TTTTTTTTTTTTTTTGGTTTTTCGAGACAGGGTTTCTCTGTGTAGTCTTGGCTGTCCTGGAACTCACTCTGTAGACCAGGCTGGCCTTGAACTCAGAAATCCGCCTGCCTCTGCCTCCGGCGAATGCCTACATCTTTTCTTTGGCCTTTGACACAAGGAAGCAAGAGCCTGCAGGAAAGAACATTCGGGTTCCCAGGCTGCACCAGCAATGGGTTCCCACTGCTGACCGAGAGAGACACAACTCCCTCGGATCCAACCACACTAGAAGTCATCCTCACTGTCCTTCCCTCCTCCACAGGAAGATTTAGGACAGCCATTGCTGTTTCTGTCCTGCACAGAGCACAAACGCCTGCAGAATGAAAACAGTCTCTAGGGAGATAGTCAGGGACAAACAGTTGAAACCCAGGAGCTCCCCTTATGGGACACCTAGGCTTCCCTACAGAGCCTGGGCCACATCGGGGCCACATCAGGGCAGGCAGTGGGTTCTGCAAACTGCCTGGCTGGCAGCTAGGCCTGCCAGCAGTGTCCACAGCTGGGGTAGCATCTGTTAAGCTTGCCCTCTCCCCCGGACCTGATGACAGACCATTTTTTGGCAGGCTCCTTGGAACCTGGCCATCTCCACACAAGAAGCTGGTCATTCAGGTCTAAAAACAGACTTGCATTCACTCAGAAACAGAACACCCCTGTACTCCCAGAGACTACTCTTCTGAAGGGAGGTGCACAGACAACCTTGGCCACACAGATTCCCCCCACTCAGGCTGCCAGGAGTATGGCTAGTCTCCAATGACAAGTCAGCTCTGTTTACTCATGGATACTGTCCAGCAGAACCCACTCTAGCATCTGAAGATTCCCATCTCAGAATCCCTGTGGCCCTGTGGACACACCAGATTCTGCACAGAACCACAGGCAACTGTGAGGTCCTAGGGCCCTGGGAGAGACAGGGTCGGGTGGAGACAGGGAGACAGGTCAGGAACCACAACTTCTGTTGGGGGCTTTGAGGAAGCCACTGTTACTTTCTGGGACAAGAAAGTCTCCACTTAAGAGCTAAAAAGCAGAGGCCAGGAAGCTAGGTGACCTACCCTGCCCTCTGTTAGAAGGATTCCTGTCCCAGAAGGGGCTGGCAGCATGCTCAGAGGACTGTCAGCTCCCCTCCCTTCTGCCTTCTTTCTACAGATACCAATTGAAAAGTGAATGCTTGCTGTTCCACTTTGGGCCAGCACTGTGCATTCCAGGAAAGGAAGGCAACATGCCTGCCCCGGGAGGCAGACGTGGGACAAATATTTACATAAAGCAGTACATAATTATAAGTCTATAATGTATGCCCTGAGGAAAATCATGAGAGTCAGGAGAAATTCTATCAGGGGTGGGGCTCACCTGTGGACAGTAAGGGTGACTCTTGTAAAGCAACAAAGGCCCTGCAGCTGATCCCCATTGGCTGTTCACCAGATGGCGGCTGCAGAGGTGACCTCATTAGAGAGGTCAAAGGGCAGGAGGCCAGAGGTGTGGGAGCAGTACTGGTGAGCAGTAAGGCGGTGAGTAGTGAGACCAGAGGTAGACAGAGCTGGATAGTACAGACCCCGTGAGCCTCACTGTGAGTCACTACCTACGAGCAATGGGTATCCAGAGAACGGATTTAAAAGAAAGGAATAATGCTATCAACTTTGTTTTTTTTTAAACATATTTTTATTGAATTATTTATGTGTGTAGATGTGGGTGCTTGTGTGCCTGTGGGGGTCAGAACATAACTTCAGACAGTTGGTTCTTTCTTTCTTTCCACCGTGTGGTTTCCAGGGATTGACTCAGACTTGTTAAACCATCATGCTGGATCTTAACACTAAACTGTATCTTTAAAATGGTTAAGATGCTAAGTTGTATGTTATGTGGATTTGGTAAATCACACTTCATTCATTCATTCATTTTGAGGCAGGGTCTCCCTATGTCTCCTCCCAGAAATCAGCTTGACTCTGCCTCCCAAATACTGGGGTTAAATGAAGATGTGATTCAGCCAACAGTTAAAAAACAAACCAACCAAACAAACAAAAAACCCTTACAACTCGATAAAAAGACAAAAAGCCCTATTAAGGAGCGACACATATTTGAAGCAATTATTTCTCAAAAGAAGATACTAAATGTCCAGGAAGCATGTAAAAAGGCCATCAACATCATTTGTCACCAGGGAAAGAGAGTCAAAGCCACAAAGCATGCCACTCCACGCCCCCTGGAAGACGGCCGTCGATGGAGGTGTAGGTGAGGCTGTGGAGACACTGAGACCCGTCTGCTAATGTGAAATAGGGTGAGTGAGTAATTTAGAAAACAACCTAGTGGTTCTTCAAACCACTGAAGTTACCATGTAACCTAACAAACATCCCAAGGAACACACAAAAGAGAGTTTAAAATGTGTGTTCGGAGACTGGAGAGATGGCTCTGTGGTTAAAAGCGTGTCTGATCTTTCAGAGGACCGGAGTTTGATTTCAATCACCCACATCACAGTTCACAAGCAACTGCAACCGCAGCTCCTAGGGAATCTGACATGCACATACCCACCCACAGCCATCTCTCCAGCCCGCAGTCAAATAATTAAAAATAACAAAACAAACAAAAACATCCAAACAGAATACTATGCACGAATTCTCGCAGCATCATCCAGAAAAGCCAAAAGATGAAAACCACCCAAACGCCAAACGCTCATCAATACATAAACAAAATATTTCTTTAGCTATCAAAAAAAAAAAAAAAAAGACCCAACAAACAAAGACACTGACACATGCTAATTTCAAATGAATCTTTTTTTTAAAACTCACGGCAGCTGTGTAGGAAGTGATGGCTGACCCTGGTGAATGCAGGTGCTGGTAGAGGATATCAGATCCCCTGGAGCTGGAGTTAAGGTAGTTACTGAGCCATCTCTCCAGCCCCTATAAAAGGATCTTTACAATACTGTTAATGAAAGAAGCCAGTCACAAAAGACCACTTACTCTGCGGTTACATGTGTAAGAAAAACACAAAACTGGCTGATCTATACACAGACAAAAAGCAGACTGGTACTTGGGGGGCGGGGGCGGGGAGGGAAAGGGCAAACCAGTCGGTAGTGATGTCTAATGATACATTTAGTTTCTTTGCAGGGCAAATATTCTGGAATTAAACAGTGGTCTTGGTTACACAACTGTGTGAACACTTAGAAACGTCACTGAATTGGCCGGGCAGCAGATTGCTGTGTAGCACATGTCTTAGCATGGATAATGCCCTAGCTGCGTCCCTAGCACTGAATAAAAAAGCAAACAAACATGAATTTTATGGTGTATGAATTCCATCTCAATGTAAATGAGGAGGTAGGGAAGGAAGAAGGAAGAAGAGATCCAGGGCTTAAAGATTGTATAGAAGAAAAAGAGAGAGGAAGTCCCCCCAAATTAGGTTATGAATAGTGGCCTATGCGGGGCGGGGTGGGGAAAAGCCGGGAAATGTTGACACTGCCTTTAATCCCGGCACTCAGGAAGTAGGGACAGGGGGAATCTGAGGCCAGCCTGGTCTACCGAGTGAGTTCCAGGACAACCAGGGCTACACAGAGAAACCCTGTCTGGAAAAACAAGACAAAATGAATAGGGAGATATAAAGTTCCAGGTGTGTAGGTTGCCATAAAAACAAGGAAGCATTTCCAAAGGAGACTGAGCAAGCATCAGGACAAACAAAAATCAAAGCTGAGTTGTGATGAGGGTAAGTAACAGCACAAGTGAAGGACGGACCTTGAATTTGGACACGTGGACGGGTAACCTCAGCAAGGACACTTTGGTGCTGTGATGGGCCTGGCTCCTCCTTCCTTCCTCCCAGACTGGTGACTGGGAGGGACAGTGAGCCTCTGACCACATGTGAGGAAACCGGGCCACCAGCCAGCTCAGCACCACAACAGCCTGGGATGCTTGCCTCTCCTCACTTCCAGTAAGAGATGGCGTGGTTGCCGGGGTTAGGCAGGGCTACACATTTCTCTGGTCCTAAAAGGTTGTTGAGCGCGTTCGTTGGAGACCGGGTGCTGCCTCACTGCCTGGTCACATGCCCACACCCCCACCCCCAGCCACTCTCACCTGCAGCTCCTCCACCCCAAGGACGCGCCAACCAGTTTCTTTGCTAAACCTGCCCTGGAAAGGACCAGGAAGACCAAGGTCCCTCGGTCCCTGGTGGCAGCCACACCCAGAATTCCAGTACCACACTTAGTGGTTCCCAAGGCGGCGCCCGCAGCGACACTGATCGCGTCAGTATGGCGCGGCCCGGCCCTCTGCCAGCTGGTGAGTCGAGCTGGTAGCAAGAGTAGATCGGGAGACCTGACGCGAGGGCAGGAGCAGCGGCCCCACCAACCAGCTTCCCGGGATGCTGAGCCCGCGCTGGGCTCCTGGAGTGGTGCCCAGTACCAGAGCTGGCAGCTGGCCGCGACTGTGCACACCCCTGGCAGGGCTGGAGTCCACACCCTGCCGCAGGCTCTCGACAACGTGGCTCCCCAGGCAGACTCCTGACCAATGATCCAGTCTTGAACAGTTTGCTGGGTCTTGGGGCCTCTTCCCCAGGGAGCACCCCAAACTATGTAATTGATAAAAACTCCTAGGGCGTGCCAGCTCTCGCCACTGTTAACGCAACCTCTGGAGGTTGTACCTATTTTACAAAGGTGAGAAATATAAAGATTTGTGTATTTAAAGGAAATAAATTGTTATTTGACGGTATAAGAAAAAACTAGGGAGTTGGTGAGATGGCCTAGTCGGTAAGAACATTTGTCATGCAAGAATGGGGGCTTGGGGGAGAAGTATATTCTTGTAAGTTGACTCTAAATGATCCTACGTTTTATTTGATCTGGAAGACTATATGTTTGAAAACAGTCAAAATTTTTTTTTGAAAAGAAAATTTGGAGGCTTCATCTAGCCAAATGTCAGAACAAACTACAAAGGTATTCCTGGCTTCGAAAAGAGTCATCATTGATCAATGGGGCACAGAGAGGCCAGCAAATGATCTTTGGATATAAGAAATCTAAGTATATAATGAAAATATTTTGAGAAACAGAAAATAAATTGTGTAATAAATGTAATAAGACACGGGCTATCTCACGTCACTCACGAAACTATATCCCAGGTACAGTTAACATCTGTATATGTCTAACTTTATAGGTAAATTGAGGCAGGGTCTTGAACGCAAGACAATCTTCCTGCTTCAGTTTCCTGAGTGCTGGGATGACAGGCATACGTCATCATACCCAGTTAAATACCTATAAGTCTAAATCTATAAAGAATTAGATTAAAATAGAAACTTTTTTTTTTATATATCAGAAGAGTTTCTCAAGTAAGGTACAAAATCTAGAAAACAAAGATTTAAGTGGATAAGGGACCGAAGAGATGGCACAGTGGCTCCACACACTGGCTGCTCTGCCAGAGGACCCAGATTCTATTCCCAAAACTCCTATGGTGGCTCACAACTGTGTGACACCAGCCCCAAGGAGCATATACCTCTGCCCTTCTTTGGTACTTAGACTCACAAATACCTACGCATCTTCAGGCACACATACACCTATATATACTTTTAAAATAATAAAGCTTCCCCGCCCCCTTTCTGTTTTTTCTAGACAAGGTTTCTTTTTTTTTTTTTTTTTTTGGTTTTTCGAGACAGGGTTTCTCTATGTAGCCCTGGCTGTCCTGGAACTCACTCTGTAGACTAGGCTGGCCTCAAACTCAGAAATCCGCCTGCCTCTGCCTCTCAAGTACTGGGATTAAAGGCGTGCGCCACCACCGCCCGGCCTAGACAGGGTTTCTTTGTGTAGTAGCTCTGGCTATCCTGGAACTTGCTCTGTAAACCAGGCTGGCCTCAAACTCACAGAGATCCATCTGCCTCTGCCCATCCCATCCCTCCCCCCTCAAGTGCCAGCTACAATAATAAAGTTTTTAATTGCATAAGAAATGTTAAACTTGGGGCTAGAAAGATGGCTCAGTGGTTAAGAGCACTGACTGTTCTTCCAGAGGTCCTGAGTTCAATTCTCAGTAACCACATGGTGGCTCACAACCATTTGTATTGGGATCTGATGCCCTCTTCTAGTGTGTCTGAAGACTGCTACAGTGTACTCACATATATAAAATAAATAAATCTTTTTTTTAAAAAAAAGAAAGAAATGTTAAACTATTCTACATCAAAATTTAAAATTTGATGAACAAATCAAAGCTGGGCAGTGACATGTGTCCATTACTCAGTGCCCTGAGGCTAAAGCAATCGACCTGGGCAACACAGTAGGAATTGTGTTTTTAAAACATTTGTACAAGCCGGGCAGTGGTGGCGCATGCCTTTAATCCCAGCACTTGGGAGGCAGCGGCAGGCGGATTTCTGAGTTCGAGAGTTCAAGGCTAGCTTGGTCTACAGAGTGAGTTCCAGGACAGCCAGGGCTACACAGAGAAACCCTGTCTCAAAAAAAAA